AATAATATATATATATATATTATATTTAAAATTTTCATTAATAAGTATTTTTATCATATAAATTATATTTTAAATTTATAAAATAATTTATATTGTGACACAAGATTATTTTAATTATTGTTAATTTATTTTTAAAATATTAAAATTTAATTCAAAAATAAATATTACAACTAAAAATTGAATAATAACATAAAAAGTTAAAAAATAAAAATAAAAATATTCTTGTTAAAGAAAAGTCCAGAAAAACGCTCTCATGTGAAATAATCATATGTATATCTAATGTATAAAAGTGGATTTGAAAAGTCACACTAATGATAATTTATGATTAGTTGATAATGTAAAATAAAAAAAAATTATATTGTCAATACATAAAAAAGTAGTAAGGGCTTCCAACATCAGCTTATAAATGGCGACTTTACATTAGTTTTAGAATATGTTGATTTCACCGATGTAAAATGAGAAAGACATTCTACACATGGGATAAAATTACTAAAGATTATGTAGGTATACATGCGTTACTCTCTTGATTCTTGCAGTTGCGCATTTGCATGGCCCATCTCCAGCTATTGCAAACCTTCCTAAATCAATATTTATACAGGTGTTTACTCTCTCATATTAACGATCTGTTATCTGTCTTATTATCATGCAATCATGTGTTGGCTCCATAATGCATGTATAGCTTCGAGAGAACAAAGGAAAGTCCTAACTTGATAGTTCAGTATGTGACTTATGTATAATCAACTACTCAATCAATGATTATTTCTTTTCCGTTTGAATTAATTTCTCTTTGTCTCCTAATAAAAAGATTTTAGTGAAATACTAATAACACACTTTTCATACACACTTTTTTTAAGTAATACTATCTTTAATTGATTAAAATTTATTAAAAAAAATACAACATTTGATGGTCCTCTATTCTATTTAACGACTTTCTTTTTTGATTTTTTAATTTTTAATAAATTTTAATCAATAAAAGTGAGTGTATTAGTATATTGCTAGCACTCCTCACGATTTCATCATGTAACCGAGAGAGATTGCAAAAATATTAATAGAAGGGGAAACCTTCTATAAGCACAATATCTTTAGTTTTGAGAAGAAAATAATAAAGACTTGTCAAGAATATTTTAAATGATGAAGAGAAATAATGATGTGTGTAACAATGTGTTTTATAGTTTAATTGCATGATGATGTGTTATGTTGATTTGTGATGTTATATGTTGAATTATGTATTGTTTGAGCCATAAGGGTTATGAAATCCTTTAGAATTAAGTTGTTTAAAGTTGATTAAGTTGGGATCAAAATTGACCAAGAAACGAAAAACAAATATAAGATTTTTAGAGAACATGATATTCATGAGTTCATTTTTTTTTTTAAATTCTAGAGAGAAATTTTAGCAAGATAAGCTCTAAATTTAAGGAAGATCATTCTTTCTTCTAACTTCACCAAAAGCACATAAATCCTTCCTTGAGTTGAGATCGAGTTGTAGAAGTTGGGATTCGAGTTGACTTTATTAGAGCAAACAGGGTAAGAAATTCTTTTTTGAAAAGGGTTCTTCTTCTTTACTGCTAAGATTCAATCGAGGTAAGAAAAATTTGTTGCTTGACTTCTTAAGTTGTTGATTGTTGTTATTTGGCCTACTGATGACTTAAATGTTGGATTTGATTATTGTTACTTAAGTTGTGAATTTCGGTTTAAGGGAAGAAAAACCTAAGACCTAAGGATGTTGATTACGTGTTACATTCTCATTGCATGTTGGTTTTGATGTTAGGTTCATGTTGTTTAGAAAGGGTTAGGTGGGTTGCATGTGGTAGAGAAGGTAAACAGTGACATGATTTGTTGAGAGAAGACAAATTCCATGGTGGAACTTCACATTCTCACCTAACAAGGTGACATGCTTGCCCGACGTGCATAAATGGATAATGAACATTTTCCCAGATTTTCCTTCTCACTCAATGGCATGAGCATCGCTAAGTGAGAAGATGGACCTATGGATGATCGTGGAGGTGGTCTTGCCCAACGAGGCAGAGCTTGCTCATTAAGAGGATCCACAAAGGTCTTAGCACGCTAAATAGGTCACCATGCTTAAAGTTGTTCTATACTTAACCTAGAGATGACAGGTCAGACTTTACGATTGGGTAAAGTCAATCCACTTAAACTACTCATTAAGTTGTCGGAGATCTTCAAAATTGAAAATGTGTGACGACACATAAGTTGTTAAAGTTGTGATGTTGTATAAGTTGATAAAGTTGTTAAGTTGTATTTTGTTGTGAAAGTTGTTAAAGTTTTGAATTACTAAATTATTTAAGTTGATTGAGGTAATTAAAGTTGTGAAAATGTTGTATTATGTTGAAATGTTTCTAAGTTGTTTTCAATTGATGAATTTGTCTTTATATTATATGTAATGTTGTTTTCTTTCATAAACTTACTCTTATTTTTTCATGTGTTGGATTACGATGATTATACTATAATAGTATATAAATATTAGGTACGACGATAAGCATTATTTTGACAAATTTATCAAAGTACTCGTAGAAGAGAAAAATAGGAGAATAAATTAGACAAGCTCGTTAATTATAGCAAAATTTGTAGAAATTATTTCATATTACCTTTTGTAAAAAACTTTTATAACTTATAAGGTAGATATTGTTTATGGAAAACTTATTTAAGTAATTTTTTTCCTACTTTCTTTCTCCTAAAAGTATTTTTTTTGCAAGAATTTATCCAAAGAGATCCTTCTACAATGAAAGATATTATTGCCTCTGTTGTAATACTAAATATTTTCTTGAATAATTTAAATTCAGAAAACTATCGCCAAGAAAGGAGCTAGTTTGGAATGATTAATTAATGTTATAATTATAAGGTTATTGCTAAATCATATGAAATTGTTGAACAAAATCATTAAATAAAAGGACAAAAAAAAACTTATATTTAAGTTCACAATTTAAATCTTTCTGCTCAAGAAACAAAAAAAAATCACGTACAAGGGCTTCCACAAGGTGACAACTCCGAACACACCAAATGAGTAAACGAAAACCATGCATTGAAGCAAACACTTTGTATATGGAGGGTCATATCATATGTGTGAAGATGATTCCTTAAAGAGACTCCTTATTGAGGGAACAAAACACACCAAATAAATTAATACATAAATATCATAGAGAATACATTATATGCGTAAGCGTGGAGAGTTCGATTTAGTGATGAGA